TATATATGTATATGTGTATATGTATATATGTATGTATATATATATTTTTTTTTTTTTTTTTTTTACTAATAGTGATTGAGTAATTTTAGAACTTCAGCTTCTTTTATTTTAATAAGTTGCCAAGGCAACATTTTAATGTTCATTTAGTTTTAGTTACAAAAATGTTAATTGTTCTAAAATCGTCTTCATAAGGTATCATCTTTTTCTTTCTTTTGATTTTGGGGTGAATGTGACCTGGACACTCTACCTTTTTGTCACAAAGCGAAATCAATTAATAACATGTAAACACATTTGGTTTTAACATAAAATAAATATTTGCATGGTTGTACTTTTTCTGTTCAGTATCTGAGTCTTTTGCGCTCATGTGAGGGATATAACGAGGTAATGTTCCCTCACTGTCCATGTGACTCACGGAGGAAAGGTCATGTGATCACAGCCATCAGCATGAAGCATTTCAAACTGCACGCCTGCACAGAGGACGGCACTCTTGAGGTGCGCGAATGATACCTACATCATTTTAAGGCCTAGAATGCTTCATTTGCCTCTATATATACTAAAGCATATCACCGAATTCTGAGATGTTTTGCCCATAGTAATGCTTTATCTGTGACTCACAGAATCAGGTGATCATGTTCGAATGGTCAGAGATGCAAAGATGGGACACAGATGAAGAGGGAATGGCCTTCTGCTTTGAATATGTGCGCGGAGAAAAGAAGCCTCGCTGGGTCAAAATATTCACTCCCTATGTTAGTCACCCAAAAATTAGAATTAGAGCTTTATTATTTACCTGTTGAATTATGTTTCGTAGAATATTTTGAACAGAAATAGTCCCTGAATTGTGTGTGCTTGTGTTCCCTTCTCCAGTTTAACTACATGCACGAGTGCTTTGAAAGGATTTTCTGTGAGCTCAAGTGGAAGAAAGAGGTATTAATAACTTACTTTTCTGTTATAGTTTCTTTACCTTTTCTTGTCATTTGTTGTTAATGACTTTCTTTTTGATATGTTAAAGGTTGAAGACGAGGCCTCGGACAAAGGCAATAAGAACTGTAGTAATAATGGTAAGAAAACCCTTTTGCCCTCATTTTATCACACACACACACGTTAATGGGATTTTTCTGAGTGTACTCATGTGATGACCATATTCACAATGAAACCTGAAATACTGGTTCATTCTTACCACACTTACTTGACGTATCAAGTACAGAGTCATACGTGTGATGCTCATTTGAACCGTCAATACATAAAATGAATCTGCACCTTCTCGAAAGATCAAATCATGGTAATGTATAATATATTTATTATGTAAAACAAAATGCAGGAAATGATTCAATTGCACTGTAGGCTAGACTGGAAATACTCCAGCAAATGTGCTTTTTATTACTGAACACTTATTCATTGAGCAAATAATATATTTACATGTTTCAGTTGTGCTCGTGCAATAAGAGGTGAATATGTGAAATAATACAATTAAATGGGGGTTTCTATACAAAATTCATCATTATATAAATAAATGTAAATAAAATGTGTACAATTCAGTATTTCTAAATGTTTTACATTTATTAAAAAATATGTATGTATGTATGTGTATATATATATATATATATATATATTCATGAATATCTGTAAATATCAAATTATTTTATACATGTTAATATATATTATTTAAATGTTAATAATATTATAAAAATGTTTATTAATGATTTATGAAAAATTATAATGTATAATACAAGCACACATGTAATAAATAAATATAAGAAATATTTGTAAATAAAGATTATTTGATACATGAAACATAATTTGTAATGAAATATCCTTATATTTTCTAATGAAACAATTGTGAATTGCAGATTACCTCTCGCCGCTGGAGCAACAGAAGGGATGGTGCCACCTAGGGGGCGAGATTGCCACTTCCTAAAACTCCTCTCTAGAGCCTGTGGAATTGCGCTGGATCATCACACTAGAGCAGACCACCATAACGACCATGTTACCACAGCAACACCCTAGCGACGCCATACCAACCATGTTTCCATGGAGACAAAAGTGTGCCTTTCAGATGCAGAGCATTCCATATGGCAACCACGGCAACGCAAAATGCCATTATCATGGCAAAGCAGACACATAACAATCGCTACGGGGATGTTTTGCACCAATGGGTTCTGTTGTTATTTCATCAATAGATACTTTGAACTCGCATAAGTACATGTAAAATACCACATAGGACAAGACCTTAAGATCTTCCATGCCGTCGGTTTAGGAGACATGCTCTTTTGTAAGTCTACTGGCTGGATTTTGGAGAGCATTAGCTAAAGTAGAGCACTGTTATCAGGGCAGCGTAGTAACAAAAGACCACTTTGTGATTTAAACAGCAGCCGCTATCACAATTGTTAAAAAATTGATATATATGGGAGGGGGAAGTCATGCCTTAACAAAAATTAATTTGTGTAGCAAGGTCACCATACAAACAGTTAATATGGGATCTCTCTAAAATCATATTGGGATGGCATGATTGCTTGGTTTTCCCAGTATAGCTGACTAAAATGAGCTCATTTTCTTTTTACTCCCCATTAAATGAGGAGTTAACAAGTGTGTGGGAGCAGTAAGAAGTGTGTGTGTAATTAAGAAGTAAAAGGACAGGAGTGTTTATGGACAGGTGTAGTTTGCATAAGCGACCTGTAGGGGGTCCCTGCATCAAACACATAAGCAGCTGCGCTCAGGATACAGTTGTATTTGAGTTGTTTATTTGTTAGTCTCAGAGGGAACATCATCGAGTCTTCGTCTGAGTTGGTTTTAGTGTTATTTATTGTTCAAGACTGCAGAGGCTTGCCTTGCTCAGTCATAGAGAGACAACACAATAAGGGACAGATTGAGAATATCAGAGCAGTTTGAACAGTGTTTCTTTTCTTATATGGTTTCAGGAAAAAGAACAGAAGGCAATTGCTTTCAAATTCATTTACAAATTCCCCACCGAGTGCTAAAATAACAGCCTTTTTCCAAAGTGGTCTGTTTGCTATTTTTCTGTTTTTCTTTTCGTAACTTAAAATATTGGTATAGCCAAAAAGATATACCATAAAGGACCTTAGTGGGCCCCGCTTATCACAGGAACAGGCACAATTTTTCCATTTTCTTAAAAGAATAGTTCACCCAAAAATGAAAATTAACTGAAGATGTACTCACCCTCAGTTTCTTCATCGGAAGATATTTGGAAAAATGTTGAATTACATCACTTGCTTTTCACTTCACAAGACATTAACTGATGGACGTTAATTGATGCACCCATTCACTGCGGAGGATCCATTGGTGAGGAAGTGATGTAATGCTGAATTTCTCCAAATCTGTTCTGATGAAGAAACAAACTCATCTACATTTTAGATGTCCTCAGAGTGAGCAAATACTCAGCAAATTTTCATTTTAGGGTGAACTTTTCCTTTAACAGACATGCATGTTTAATGCAAGTCAAAAGCTTTCCATTCCAGCACAATACTGTGATTAAATCAGCTTATCGTCATCCAAATGCTTAAGCCGCCTTGGCCACGATACCCTGATCAATAAGTGAGTTTGTAATATGTGTGTGTGCGTGTGTGTTCTACATCAGATTGCTCTCTGGTTAGAGTAAAGGCTCCTATTATAGCAGCACAGTAGCATCTGTGGTCTAAGCATATTTACAAAAACTTCATTTGTGTCTTCCGTCCTGATTATTTCCGTGTTTGATTAGTTCAGCCAGTTTATCAATGTGAATGAAGAAAAAACAAAAAAAAAGTAAGACCTGTGTGTATTATGGTTGTGTAATTTGTCTTTTCGTCAGGAGTGCAGGTGCGACACTTTTTGTATTGTTCGGAAAATGTCAAAAGTGTTCCACCTCGTAATGTTCACCAGCACTATAAAATATTAATTGTTTGGTCAGTGTTTCTTATTTTGTGTCAATGTGCCAGGGGAAAAAAAACAATATGAATGTACCAGAATGTATTTATAACATGGATGATTATTAGAGATTATTAACTTCAACTTCAACCATTTAAGATCGTCATAACGCTTCAGTTTAAAACTTAAGACACTAACCAGCTTTTAACCTCCCACCGAGTGTTTTCTTAACTTTAGGCCCACATTGAACGTATTATTAATGTTTTAAGTGTGTTCCCCAAAATTGGTGTGTTGGGACTATTACTGATATGTTTAACGGCAATTTGTCTTGTGTTCTGCGCTTCATCTGTAAATTTGACTGCTTATGTCTAGTACTGACAGAGTCTTTGTAGATTTCTGACTGAAAACATTAATTTATTTTTCTGCTAAATCAAGGGGATTGAAACAAGGCCTTTGCTGTGGTGGGTTTAGGGAAGGGCTTTGGATGGAAAAAGATATAATGCATACGTGAAGGAGATAAACAGGCGTGCATTATTTCATGTAGCCTAGATAATGGCGTAAATTAACAGTAATATTGGAATACAATAGTTTTATATCTGAAATGTGTGAAGGTAAAACTGACCAGAGTTATAAAACACACAAAAAAAAACTTTGAGAAATGTCATGTAGTTTGAAACATTGTAACATACTATTTTAAATAAAATGACCTATTGGAAAAAAAAAATGTAATGTGTTGTTACTCTCTGGTGAACTTTCTAATGCATCCCAGCCCATAAGTAACCAATTACATTAATGCACTTAAATTAATATATAAACATTTATGAGTGAGCGTCAGATTGCATGCACTTTGGTGAAGTTTATGAAACAGTAAAGTACAACCTCTATTGAAACGTAAACCTTGCTAAACTCTAGCAGATAGAGTTACAACAGAACTTCGCAGTGTGTGCCACTGACAACTTTGATAGAATGGCTTTATACTTAGTGACAAGTGCAATTCATTTTTAATGATCATTACACAAATTAGTCTGTTCCTGGGTAATGATAATGTTTTTCAAGGTGAGTATATAATTAAAGGTAATTATAAATGTGATCATGTAAAATCATTTTGTGATAAATAGCAACAACAAAAAATTATTGTTGCTTTATATATATTTTTTTTATATATTTATATACTAGTCAACATTTGAAGTGGATCAAAACCTTTCATCAAAGTTGTTCTAAAACCTAAAACAAAATGTGTTCTTGTCTTAGGACAACTTTGATGAACTTTTTTGATCCACTTCAAATGTTGACTACTGTATATATATCTATATCTACATATCTATATCTATATATCTATATATATATATCTATATATATCTATATCTATATATATCTATATCTATATATCTATCTATATATATCTATATATATCTATATCTATATATCTATATATATATATATATATATATATATACACACTGATCAGGCATAACATTATGACCACTGACTGGTGAAGTGAATACTGCTCATCTCTTCATCATGGCACCTGTTAATGGGTGGGATATATTAGGGAGCAAGTGAGCATTTTGTCCTCAAAGTTGATGTGTTAGAAGCAGGAAAAGTGGGCAAGCGTAATGATTTGAGCGAGTTTGACAAGGACCAAATTGTGATGTCTAGACTACTGGGTCAGAGCATCTCCAAAACTGCAGCTCTTGTGTCATTTACAGTGCCTTGCGAAAGTTCAATTCATTTTTTTCACGTTTTGTTATGTTGCTGCCTTATGTTAAGCCTCAAGTGTTTTTTGTTTGATGCGACAAGCTTTTCTCATCAGCATTTGGCAATTATCTGCTATTCTCCTCACCTCTTCTCCTCTCAAGATCTGTCAGGTTGGATTCAATTCAATTCAATTCAAGTTTATTTGTACAGCGCTTTTCACGATACAAATCATTGCAAAGCAAGTCGCTGTCGACCGGCTTACGTCACTTCCTAGTACACACCATCGGTGCGAATGCAACCCTTTAAATGTAATAATTAATTATTTTAAATGGTACTGGGAAATAGTTCGCGCAAAATCGTCCCAGTAGTTTAGTACTATACATTTAGTTCTGGAACTAAAGCGGTGCGAAAGGACCTAATATTAGGAAGGTGGTCATAATGTTATTCCTGATTGGTGTGTATATATATGTATATAATTTTTTTTTGTTTTTTTTTTACATTGTAGGTTTAGTAAACCTATTGGCTCTCTGCCAATAGGGTGAGTTTGGGGCGGGACTACACGTTGGCTCGACCAATTGAAAATAAGAAGCATTTGGGAATTCAGTTTAGAAACGTCATCGTTTTGCAACGCTGGGTACACACTAAAAGATTTTTTAAATCTTTTAAGCTCTTCAAAATGTGAGAGACCACAAACATAAGGACAAAAAATCCTAGATTTAACCATTTTGCTCCTGTAGTGTGTGGTGTGCCGCGATGTTCCCCCCACACATCAGGATTTCTGATCGTAAATATTCAACATGTTGAATATTTATGATTCGCGATCGAGGCGCCTCCGACGTTCTTCCGAGCAGATTCAGTCACTCTTAACACACCTCACACCACAGGAAAATCTGAAAAGATTGTCTTTAGAACCACCAAGATAATCGGGACATTACCTAGGATTCTCGGAAGGAAAGAAATCGGCCCAAAATCAGCCCGATTATCTTGTGCTGTGTACCCATCATAAGGTTCGGTCCCGATAGTGGCGCAGAAATTGCTCACAGCTGTTACTTTTGATTGACGTTTACTATTATCATCATCATCATCATCATCAGACTTCAACAGGAAAAGACACTTATCATAAGGTATGTCATATCTGTTGTTTAATGCAACGTTTTATAGCTAGGCTACTGTTCCCTGTCAAAGATATGTGTTGAAGTCAAATGGCCTGAAAAAATATTAGTAAGCTATGCTTCAAGACAAAAGAGCAACTTAAAGAATTATTTCACATAAACCATGAAACCATAAACGAAAACAGAATTTCATAAAGAAATTATCCGGTATTCACAATAAGAATAAATCTCGTGCTGTGATCCTGCTGCAGAATTGCCTCTGGAATTAAATACCAATTTAGCATTGTCTCTCATGCGTAACCACATGGGAAATAATTAGCCTCAAGGCAGCTAAATATTTAAATGAAATTTCATTTATTTATTATCACAAGGACTCCAGGGATTTAACAAGAGAATTAGCCACACTTAAAGCACCCGCCTGCCTGAACGACAGAATGAACAGAGGGTTCAGCGGGCAGATATGGTTTCAGTAGACCAATTACTATAATATCACAAAAAAAAAAAAAAACCCGAGGCTGAAATTAATGCTTGGTATGACATATCTGTGCTGTTAACTGGAGTTTGTCTGAATTGAATTTATAGTACATACTGTACATGCATATTTCTAGAATGTACGTTATTAATGGTCAAGTTCTTCGTCCAATTTAGTATATACTTTGAGTCTACGCAAACAAATGGCTCATGAGCCGGATGTCTTTATTGAATCAAACACACACAGCATGAACAGTGTAGCTCTGTCAGTTCTTTGAATGAATGAATGAATGAATGAATGAATGAATGAATTACTGGTTTTAATCAGTCTGACTCCCAGTGAATTTAATCCAACAGAGCTATTACTGAATCAACATCTGATTCACTGCAAGTCTTTGCAGTGATGTCCATATCGAAATGAAGATTTGTGTCAATATCATTTCTAACTGATTGTCTATATAGCAATAATATAAATAGCTGCTCTTCAGCTTTACATGACCGTTTACACTGTAACCCATGGTGTGCACATAAACATAGGCACTTAGAGACTTTAGCACGCTCCGCCCTCTATTTACATACATAATTACATCGTCATAAAAGCACTGTAGAGTTAAGAGGAATCCAGAATGTAATAAATTGCTGTTGCAGGATCGTAGGATGAAGCTGTCCATGGAGTTAGAGGGAATCGATACAGCTCTAAACTGCAACGATCTGCAGAGGTCAAACTGGATGAAGTGTCGGTCTGCTTTACCTCAGATCTCAGCTGTCTGAAGAGTGCGTGTGTGTCTTTACCTGTAAGTGGCTGATGCTTGAAGGATTAGAGTCTGAAGGAGGGGTACTACT